ACTTCTATGAATCTAAGCTTATCATCAATAAATATAATTAATGAGTAAAGTTAGGTGAGGGTTCAAAATATGGGTCATCATGATCCCATTTGTGAAGGTATTGTAATGGGTAATATTTTCAAAGCCATAAATTTTATTTATTTTTAATTAGGAATATCTGAAAATATCCATCATGGGCTTAAAAGCCCACAAATGGGCCTAATCAGTTTAGTATGAGCCATTTGGCAATTCTTTGATCCTGGATTTCCCCACATTTCTGTTTGTTAAACTATAATCAGAAATTATCTTATGAAACTTAGTAAGACTTTCATTGAAATACAACATAATTAAAGAAAAACAAAACTAGAATCAATTTTAAAATTAAGTAGCAAGTTATAAAGTCAAGAAAAAGCAGAATTTACCCTTGGGAGGACTGAAAGAAGTAACAAGTGGGCATGTAGGCTGATGGTAGTCCCTTGATCTACTGCTGTCATTTTAAGAATATCCACCAAGCTGTATCCTTAAGATATGTGCCCTTTCTATATGTAATAATACTTCAAGTAAAATAAAAAATTAAACAAGAAATCCATGAAATTTTAGTTGTATATAGAAAATGCATATATAAAATTAATAAATAAAAACATAAATGAACACTTTGAAAGCAAAAGGAACAACCAAAGGTTTTTGAGTTTTCCTGGAAATAAATCATAACAACTATTGTGTCTACCTGGTGCACCAAGAGAGTCTAAGGCAATGGGTTCCCAAACTCTTCCCATGACTCTAGCCTTGTGATCAGGCTCATTCTTTGGTTAATTGCCTTAAATGTCAAATTTTAAAATGTTTACGTTGGTCTCTAAGTGAAACATGGGAAAATCCCCTCAACGAAATGATGACAAGTGATTCCCAAATCATTCTACCTTGCTTCATATTGAGCTCAAACTCCATCAACAAATATTGATAGACTACCTACTGTGTGAAAGCGTCGTGAAAAATATACAGAAGACAAAAATGAACCAGGCCACATAAGGCTCTACTTGTACACACAGGAGATATACAAATAAATAGACAGTAGCCTTCCTAGATGATATATAGTAAGTACCCGATACTGATGCAGTACTAGGCTTACTGTGCTGGTGAGATCGGGCTTTCTAGACCAATAAACTGAAATATATTTAAAAATTGTATATACACACAATAAAACCGAAGTGGCTGATTGAAGTGGCTGAAATGTGCGTTGGATTTATAAAAAAATAAGAATAGGTAACATTCTGGTTTGTCATTTGGCAATATTTAGCTCTGAACCTTCTTGACATAGCTATAAAAAAATGAAGCATTGCCATTGAACAGTACATGTAGAAAGCAGAGTTCTAGACAAAAATTGAAAATAATATTATAATTCTGTTAAGTATACATCCATAAATATGTTATAAATCCATTAGTAAGATGCTGAGGCTTAAAAATAAGCATGAGATCAAATCCTATATCATTTATTAAAAATTCTGTACATTTTTAAACAGTTTAACAAGCTATTTGAAAATGCTAAGACTCTAAAGCAGCAACAAAACTTTTTAAAATTAACTTTGAAAGAACAGTGAAACTTATATAAGAAAAAATGTTTTATTGGGAAATTAAATGTTTAATAGAGATAAAAAAAATTCTTGAATATATCAATTAAACAGTGTATAAATTCATTTTCTTCCTCAGTTTTAAATTCCAACAAAATATTAATGGTCCCAAAATATATAAACAAAATTAATAAGAACATAAATGAACACTTTGAAAGTAAAAGGAACAACCAAAGGTTTCTGAGTCTTCCTGAAAATAAATCAGAACAAGTAGAATGGAACAACAACAACAGAAAGCTGCAGATTCAAACTGCATAGACTTTTCTCAGTTCCAGAAAAAAAAGACCTTAACAAATAACAGCAACAAAATCAGAGTTTCAAACAATATTCTTGGGTATATACATTAATTTTAGAGTAGTGCTAAGCAAAATAAATTTTCTTTGCACAAAATAGTGTCTATAACAACATTCTAGCTATTTCATTGACAAGGAATAGCATATATTACCTGTCACTAAGGCTCTCATCTTCAAACCTGCCATCTCAGATCTTGAATGTTATGAGTATGTACTATGTACAATATATATACATGATATATGCTATATACTATACATATTGTATGTACATTATACAGGGGTGGGCAAAAGTAGGTTTACAGCTCTGAGTACAGAAAACACAGACTCCATTCTTATATTATTATTTTTGTATTATTTTCTATATGAACAACTGTAAACTTATTTTGCCCATCCCTGTATACTATATTACGGGTTTATAAAAATTAGAGGCAAAACATGATGACAACAATGATTATATCTGGACTGTGGAAACTGGATAAATTATAAGTCACTCAGAATTTTCTGTTAATATCTACTTTCTAAAAACTGCAAATTATTTGGGGAAATTTTTTTTATCAGTATACAATTTTTGGTGCCATAAAAACACAAATATGTAAATACATGATCATGGGAGGAATTTTAAAAGATTAATAGAGTATATTTTGGGGAAGTAAAACTCAAGGAGTTATTGATTTATTACTCTATTCTCTTCTTCTTAAGCTGCTGTAATGAGCCTCTATCCTCTCTGCAATGGTAAAGGTAGGGTTTATTTTTAAAACAAACATGTAGAGGCAGGGGAATACCAGCAAAGAAAGATGACGATGATTGGGGCACCCTGATCCTTCAATATCTGTTGAAGCTCACTACATTACAAAATTATTTAAAATATTTTTAGTGCAGATAAACAAATTAACAAATCAATGAAAGACAGTTTCCAAATAGATTCAACTATATATGAGGAACTTAACATAACACAGTAAGCTTTCCACTGCAAACAAGTTAAAAATTATCATCTAATACATTTGGTTGAGATATTTAGCAGCAGTTTGGAAGGAAAAAGTGGAAGAAAGGGGAAGTTAAAGCTAGTATAACATAATCTATCAAAGTATATGCCAGAAGTAATTATGAGTTAAATGCCAAGCTAAAACACTAAATTATAAAAAAGTCAAAATAGCAGATGATAAACTATTTCAGAGGCTATGAACAAATATATTTTTAGCTTTGATGTATGAGAGAAAATCTAAAGGAAAAGCTTATCACATTAAAGTATACAGATGCAAAATTTCTGTACACATTTTAAAAAATAGCAAAATATTGTAAAAATATTAACATAAAAATTTCAATACACAATTAATGTGTTATAGAGTATATTCAAAATTACAGAAAATAGCGGAGACAAATGAGAGAAGTTATAAATAAAAATTAGCAGAAGATACAATTAGGAGTTATTAAAATATGTGGAATGAAGTTAATTCTCATTTGTAAGCAAGCAACAAATTCAGTCTGAGATATAGTTTTACAAGTACTAAACTTGCCTAGATACATTTTAAAAGATAAGATGCTATAAGACTGTGGAGAACTTGTACATTACTTTTTAATTGCACTTATAACTCACTGGAAAAGCAATAGGCAAAAGGTAGCAAGGGTGATAAAGGTGTACATCCTTCTAGCTCAGATATTCCATCTACTAAATTTATATTGAAGATATTAGTCCTCATAAACAAAAGAGATCTGCACCAAAAGTTTTGGTATATTCCATTACAGCAAAAAAAAAAAAAGTCTATGTTAAATAACTGTATTATGAGTAAGCTAATGTAGATGTGTGAGAATTACTCAGCAATAGGAAAAATGCTCAATATATAAGTGAACACAAAATATTCCATAGTATAGGTGCTGTATTTTTTCAATTATGTAGAAAATATAAATGATAAAATGCAAAATATAAAAATTATTGATATTTTAAAGTATTGTATAAATGTTTCCTAGTTTAAAAATATTTAAACCCAATTGTTTCTGATAATTGGCACAAAGATACAATAACCAGATAAAAATATAATTTTATAAAATAAAAATATTTTTTATAAATAAAGCATTTAGTGAAAAAACGGTTTACAGTCAGAGCATCTAATGTGTGCGTGTGTGTGTGTGTGTGTCTGATACAAGAACACCTAGTCTCTATGTATCTCACACATTTCTCTTCAGAAGTGTAAATATATATAAATAATTACACGTGTTCTATTTACCTCACTTTCACTGTGAAGATTAAAGGAAACAGTAGGTGTACAATACTTAGCCTAGAACATTCCTGCCTGGCACATTCTAGGTGCTTAAAAAATGTTCTTCAATATAAAAGGGGAACAATGCCAAGGATTTGTTAAATTGTGATACTAGTAAATGCAATGCGAATGTTCTTCATCTTTGAAATGAAGGAACTAAAATAGTTTATTTTAGAAGGCTCCAACAAATGTGAAGTTTCAGGAGCCTATAAAATTCTGCAGAACAAGTGGAACATGAAGAAGGCAGAAACCACTAAAGAACTGTTACAAGATTATGAATATGTGGACCTCCTGAAACAGCATACACTAAAGTTTTAAAATGTGTGTGTGTGTGTGTGTGTGTGTATAAACTTTTTTAAAGCAAGAAACCAAATAAAGCACAAACACACACCTGCTTCATTTGATTTCACAGCATCCAATGCACCCTCAGGAAATGTTTCTTTGGCTGAACTTTTATGACCCAGGTAGACAAAAACCAATTCTACACTAACACGTAGTACTTTTTTTCCTCCCCAGGGAAGTGATGGGGAATGCTTCTGACATAGAAGTGAACTATTTGATCAGAAATATGTGCCTCCTTTTCCTCCCCTATACTTAAAGTATAGCACACACACAAATACTCCTATGCACAAAATCTGCTCATTTGAGAACAAAACGTGCTTGCAGCCTATTAAACCTGCCAGTGCTCAGGCTTGCTTGTAAAGCCACATTTGGTTTAAAGTGTAAATTTCAGTTTCTAGGTTATGCTCACCTCTCACTCCCCTGCCCCTCTCTCCAAATGATGCTATCCTCCACACCTGTGAAGGCTGGGATCTCTGGATCCTAAAGATTCCGTGCCCCAAACATACCTGTTTCTTCTGGACCCTGAGCAGCACGCTTATTCCTTATGCTTTGACTGGAGTTGCTTTCTCCTGAAGCTCGCGGTGCCAAGATCCCCTAAGAGGAGAAAAACCTCAAGTTATGGCAAAGACATCTGAGGTAGAAGAGGCAGCATTGCAGGGAGAACTGTGCCTAGAGCTTCAGCTGCTGCAAACTTACTTTCAGTACCGAGGTGGCAGCTGGAGCCTCCCGCATAGCTGCCCTGGTTGCTGCTGCTCCTGCCTGGAGAGGGCCTGGCAGCTGCTCAGTTTGGTGCTCTTGCAGTTCCTCCCGGAGGCTTCTCAGCTCTGCTTGTAAGGCAGCCACCCTGCAGAAAGATACCACCGTGAGGCAGCAGGACACCAGGGCTAGCAGCAAGGTGAAGGCCAGCAGTGTTCCATTTTTGGAGAATTGGACAGAGGGGCTTTCCTTCTGGGGGAGGATGGAGACATACTCCTTCAGTTTCATTTCTTCTCTTCTCTTAAAACAACAAGAAAGGCGTGACTGCTTCCCTTCTGTGGAGTCATTCATTTCACTCCCTGAACTATAAAAGTTCAGGACTTTAGAATAAGTGACCACGGGGAATGGATCATTTCCTGTTATCTGTGTTTGTTGATGTCCTACATTGATTACATTGGCCAGCTTGGCTCCTGCCCTCAGGAGAATTCTCCTGAATTTTCTTCTCCCTGCGTTGCTGCATCTCTGCCCCTACTGTACAATAGGTCTTCCTGGCATTCACCCTTCTAGTCGATTGCTCAATCAGTCTTCCTCATTTCACTTTCAGTTTTTGTAAGAATTTTAATAGCATCTCAAAACATTTATACAGAAACGAATCCCTTAAATCTACTGATCTGACATAACTTCAAGTTTGGATCAACACACTTGAGAGAACTTCTAAGCCATGCAGGTGTTTAAGGAGCTCCCCCTTTGGTGTTATGGGCGAACTGGGTCTCCGTAAGGCCATGGAGCTTTGCAGGAAAGGAGAAAAGGAGCATTAAAGTTCCTGCTGATGTAATAGAAATAATTAATGTAAAGGTCAAAAAAGCTAAGTGCCCTAGCATTGACTTGTACTCAACTGGAGAGTGATTTATTTACAGCCCTCAAGTAGAAAGTAAAATGAATTGTCCTCAAAGGAGGCATGGAAGTCCACTGGGGAGTAGTCTCTTTATTATTTTCTTAGCAATGTAATAAAAAGGACGTGACTAAATTTTGCAAACCTATTTAGATTAGATAGGAAGAGGGTTCTTTACATGCAGGGAAACACATTTTAAAGAGAAATCTCAGTCATCTTATTTCCTTCTGGGACTCACTGCTAGGGAGTCCGTTAGCAACAGCACAACTCGTTCTGAGGAGGTGTCCCACCTCCACTGCTCCCATGTCTGGAGCTTCAAGTATTCTTCAGTCTGACACTGTTTTCAGGAGCATTGGCCTTGCTTCCAGCTCCAAATGCCTCAGTCCTATGCTTAATTGCTCTTTCTCTAAAGCACCTGTGTACTAGTCCACATTAGGTTGACTGCATCCCAATCCAACATATATACAAAATGACCTGACTCAAACCAGGGTCCTTTAGTTTCAAGACTCTATTGTTGGACTTGGTGTTGCTGCCAGGACACTACTCTTGTCTTGATAGTCAGCTCCTGGACATTCTCTGGTTTCTGGCTGCTTTGTTCCCTCCACCTACATATCTTGTAAGGAACTCATACTTCAATGACTGAGCTACTGAGCACTTTCCAAGGCCTGGTCAGGCACAACTCCCCTGGGCACTAAGACTGTGAAGCATTACGTATATCTCTGCTCACATTTCTTCAAAAAGACAGTGATAAACACAATTTCAGTAAAGGTAAGTAATGGCTCCAGAGCCAGGATACAAATCCTGGCTCTACCCTTTACTCTGCTTGAGCGAAATATGTAACCTCTCTGTGATTCAATTTCCTCATCTGTTAAATGGGATGATCACTGTCCCTGAGATTGGAGGCTTACAGAAATGTAGAACAAACTACACTTAAGGGGTTTCCATTTTTAATTCATTTTTATTCACTGCAATCATTTATTACATGAAAAATTTCATTCATTTCATTTCACCGGAAGAAGAGCTGTCTTGGGCCACACAATAAATACATTATGACACATAACCCCCCCTCCCCCAAATCTCATGTTTTAAGTAAATTTACAATTTTGTGTTGGGCTGCATTCATAGCCATCTTGGGCCGTGGGTTGGACACCTGTGAATTACATGAAATATTTTTTCATTACAAAGTCCCACAATAGACATCTCTGTGCATGTCCCACTGTAACATCTGCAAGAGCTTCCCAAACACCTCCTGAAAAGTAGACGCATCTTCACCTTTTCCAGGTGTCACTGTTACCCTTCTGTGAGTTCCCATGTCCTCACTGTCTCACTAAGTGTGATTTCATCAGACTTACTCATTTTTACCTAATGGGACTGTTATTTTTTCCTTGGTGTCCACAAGTTTCACAACCTTTTTAAATGACTTTAAAAAACTTTAAAAACCTTAAAAATTATTTTAATCATTACTTTGATCCTTCAAATTAGCTGTTCTCTAATCTTTCGGTATAAGTGTTCTATGAGTACATAAACTCTTTTGCATCAGACATCCGTATTATATACCTTTTCTCACAGTCCTTTTTTCCATGTCAATCAGGGTGACACATATTAGATAATGTTTCCATTAAAAAAAGGAACTAGTTTGTGAATTATATTAAAACTTCCTGACTGAAAATAATTGCAACTCACTCAGGTTATATGTGTGTGTTTTAATATTACCTGAAAACATACAATAGAAATAAAAGAATTCAGGGCAGTGCTGGAAATCAGTTATTTTCTTCTTTTACTCAGGACCCTTGAAGCCACTGCTTCTTTCTGGGAGCCAACATTTTTTAATTTCTGAGCAGTCATTCATCTCCATATTCTGTTGTGAAAGTTCTGAAGAGAGAGGGAATTATTAATCACTTTAGAGAATTCTGTCTGCCTTTGTTGCCCTGCTGAGCAGAGAACATCACTGCCGACTATCTCAAGAGAGAGCCACTGACCAGTGCATGTGCAGGCCCTTCTAAAACATGTACCCCATCTTGGATCAAGCAATGGGCAACTCTGAACATGGAGAGAGCTAGTTTTTCCTCCACGGGAGGCTTCCTGATCTAGACATGGGGAAGCAGTCATTGCCATTTGAATGTCCTCCACAAGGACCACACAAATTTCTCTGAAGACAGGTAGAAAGCTAAAGGGCATTCATCTGCTCTTGAATATCTTATTAGAGGAACAAAAGGAAGTTATTACTCCATAAATTAACGATCTGTTTCCTGTAGAGGAAATTGTTTGACAGCAATTCAACTGAAATTCTGTGAAACAAACAGCATGTTTATATTCATTGAATAATACAGCAAACCACAAGTTTATTGCAGGAGGAAAAGCTACCATACCTGGGTCACAAAGAGTTCTCTGTCAGTATTTCAATACTTTTTACCCACTTCTTCTCAACTGGAATGTAAAACACTCTCCTGTGACATATCCATACCAAATTTAATAAAAATCTGAGATACCACATTCCTTTGCCCCATCCATTTAGGAGTGGGCAATTACGAATATGTGAGGGTTTTGAAAAGAATTTAAGTTACCTAAGGGACTAAACCATAACATAAAACAAACACTCACTCTTTGAATGCTTGCTTCTTATATTGAAAACCTCACCAATAATAAACTGGTTTAACAGTATTATGAAGAATTAGAAGTTTGGGGAAATCTCTCCTATACCTTTCTTTGAGGAAAACAGTCTCTTAAGCATTTGGATCATACAAGCATGGAGGCAAAGCTTTTCCAGACATGCAGATGTACCTAAAAACAGATCTGGGTAAAAATGGCCTCCAAAATACTTAGACTATGAGCCCTGACTAGGTACTTCAGTTGGTTAGAGTACTGTCCTGTATTCCAAGGTGGCGGGTTCAATCTCTGGTTAGGACACATACAAGAATCAACCAATTAGTGCATAAATAAATGGAACAACAAACTTAAGTGTCTCTCTCTCTCTGTTCCTCTTTCTCTCTAAAAAAAATGAATAAAGTACTCAGAATATGGAAAATAGTTAGATACAAATAATTTCAGAAAAAAATCATGCTGTTTTCTGGTAGAAACAGCTATGCAATTATTGGTATTACAGTTATAGTGAAACTTGATTTGGAAAACTAAATGCTAACAACTCTGAATAACTTAACTACGAAATAACCGTGTATTTTTAACATTAGCCAACTCTGGCCAATTCTTATACAAAAAAATGATGTCAGTGATTAGCAAGGCTAATTCATCTTTCCTAACAATTATTAAAAAGAGAAGTGTGTAATGCATTTACTAGAACTTAACTTTTGTCACTGTTCAAAAAAAATGAACTTTGATAAAAACTTCATTTTCCTTCATGAATATGCTGTTTTCAAATTTAATGCTCTTGAATGCTGGTATTTATTTAAGTATGCTTTTAAGAAATGTCTGTGCATTCAATACCATTCCAATTAGAGTGCAATTTAATGTGTCACTGCTTACCTTTATAATAATTACATAATAATATTTTTATTAGTATTAAGATGGATATATGTCAGTCTATGCGATCATCTACCTATTTCATGTACATGAATTTTTCTGATTTGTACACAGATATACAGAACACACATTGACACACAAGGACACTCAAATAATACCTGTTCAGATTTGACCACCTCAAAAACATTGAGAGAAAAGATAAAGTAACTCTACCCATGCAGGAAATATTACTTATGAAATTCTATCTTTAAAAATAAATAAAGCTGAATTTTCAAATATTTTTAAAGATTTATTTGAAACGATTTATTGAACGTGAGTAGTAAAATGATGGGGTTAAGAGTGTGGACTCTGAAGTCAGACATGTCTGTACATCTAATTTTGTGCCACCATCTTAACAAATTATTGCCTTCCCAAAATCTAGAAACTGATTTTGTTTCAATATCCATCTTTGTGTGATGCTGACCAAATGCACACTTCAATCCTACTCACTGCAGTGCGGCCCTGGTGACTCCATCCACATGGTGACATAGCTAAGATAAAACAAATAGAAGGTTTTTAACAATAAGATATTGTTATTTTTCCTTTTTAAAGAGGTGACTGCATTTATTATGGGTCCACATACAAAAGGCAGGTCCATTACATACATCTCCATACAACTGCACTTTTAATTATGTTGTTTTCTTAAAGTTTCCTAATACTACTAGGAACAGATTATTTTCTTCTTGTTCTGTAACATATCTACATGTAACAACCTGGAACTCTGTTGGATGTCCACCACCTGCTGTGATGCCCAGGCTGCCAATCTGAGGGTAAGAGAGTAAGAAACCTGGGTCTTTAATGCCACTACTGCACTGTTGAATTAATCAACTCTTCATGTTTTCTTATTTGGGGACTTCTTACATTGAGTAATACTTTCTCCTTACTCTTTAAGCCAATCTGACATAAGATTAGATGTTAATACACCCAAAGACATCCTAATTCTGTTAGCTTGAGAATATTTATATTCCTACAACTAAAAAGCTTTGTACACAACAATTATGAATGTTCCTTCAAAATGTTTCCAAATGTCAACATTTTAAAAACTACAATTTAAAAGAAAAGGACAGCATCCATTGCTAGAAAAATGAATTCATTCATTTAAAAAGTCTTATTTTC